ACTCACAATAACCCCTGTGGGCTTTGAGACTGTAACTGCTTATAGGAGTAGAAAGCCCAGGCTTTCTCAGAACAGGCTGGTGGTTTTGAACTGCTGACCTCGGGGATCACAGCCCAATGCATAACTACTATGCCACCAGGGTTACTGGGCCCAAACTCCTGAATTAATTTCATGGCCATTTGCTACTTGATCACTGGCCACACAGTGACTAGAGAAATAAGAGATACGAATAACCACATTCTCTTTGACTTTGAGGAATTCTGTACCAAATCTCCAAGGTCCTTGCTGAGGTATCAATTCTGACTCGGGCAGAGGAGAGCTGCCCTGTGGGGTTTCCAATGCCTAGGTTACAGAAGTAGACTGCCACAGCTTCCTCTCAAGGAATGACTGGTGAATTTGAACTACCACCCTTTTGCTAGCAGCGAAGTGCTTAAACACTGTGCCACCAGGGCTTTTCGGTGAAATTCTGAATCTAAGTGAAATCTCTAGTAACAAATAATCAGTGGGTAAATTAAGGACTACGTTTAATCGTCTTGGACCCTTTCAAGGTGCTTTTTCGATGACAGGCAGAGGCAGACTTGTTTCTTTGACACCCCCCTCCCTCAAGTTGATTACTAAGTACTCCCTCCTTCTAACGCAATGAAGCCCTCTGGCTGCTATCATTGGTGAAAAACCCCAAAGCTAAAAAGTTATTTTTTAAATACTGAACTGAAATCTGGCTACCGGAAACCCACTGGCCCTAGTTCTACGCCTAAGAACACACCGAATATTCGTCACTGTAGCATCCTTCAAATATTAGAGAAGCATTCATGCTCCCTCTAGGTATCTACCTCTGCAGAATAAACATTTCTGGAGCCTTCAGGCCAAGCGTGAGAAAACAAACTGGTCTAAGATGGCAGAAAAACCAAGAGTTATAAGTCGATCTTTGTGTTCAGCTTGATCAGGGACAAAACCATTCCCTAGTTCACACAAGTGCCTCTTGATCCGCATACAAGTTCCCCGTGAGCACAATGAAGTGTTCTAGAACAAAAATCAAAATCGTAAAAGAGACCAGGATTACTGGTCAGACAGAGACTGGTGGAACCCTGAGATTAGTCACCCTTCAGGTCTGCAATTGACCTCACCTTCGTGGCACAATTTTCAGCCAAACCATAGACAGGTCTGTAAAGGAAACTGGGAACCCTGGTGGCACAGTGGGTTACACATTGGGATGCTAACCATGAGGTCAGCAGTTCAAGTCCACCGGCTACTCTGGAGGAGAAACATTTGGCTTTCTACTCCCATAAATAGTTATAGTCTTGGAAACCCACCAGGGCAGGTCTACTCTGTTCTTATAGGATCCCAATGAGTCAGAATCAACTCAATGGCAGCGAGTTTTGCTTGTTTGTTTGTTTCTATAAAGGAAACTATAACACTGGTAAGGTATGCACACTTCAGAATAATCAACCATTTGAGACCAAAAGGGCAGCATTTACCTAAGAACAAACTTCAGAAAGCTTAAGAAAAAGGAAGGAAGGAAAATGGGATACGCCAGGAGGAACCAAGATACGTGCTTGAGGGACAGCAATGAATGAGATATAAGAAAACGTGTATGAATTGCTGAATGGAAAACTGATGATCTGCTCTATAAACCTTCACCCAATTCACAACAGGTTTAGAAAAATAAAATGAATGGATTATCCTGGGGCCGTGGATAAGGACAGCCACAGCAAGCTCTGAGCATGGCGCGAATCTTTTTTTTTCCCTCTCAGTCTTTGTGGGAGCCTTGTGGGGTAAAAGTTACGTGTTGGGCTGCTAACCACAAGGTCAGCAGTTCAAAGCCACCAGTCTCTCCACAGGAAAAAGACAAAAGTTTTCTACTCCCGTAAAGAGTTTCAGACTCAGAAACCCATGAGGGTAGTTCTACCCCATCCTTTAAGGTCACTATTAGTCAGTATCAACTGGATGGGGGAGAATGATTGGAACTTCAGTATCCATACCCATAAGACACACCCCAACAGAAGGCCTTGAGCATTCCCTGACACCCTAAGGCACAGGCGGTAACACGTGCAATTGAGATGGAGGCAAAGAAGGTCCAAGCAGGCAAGGAAAGATAGGCTTCAAGTTGCAGAGAAGTGAACACAGGTAGAGATAGCTTAATTTTTTTAAAATAAAAAAGCATAACCAATGTTACATATAAGAGTCAGAGAAAACTCAAACATGTACACTCCAGTCTTCCAGCATTGGTCGCAAGCAATGGCCCGTGCGCAAAGGGCTTAAGACAGTCAGGCAAAGAAACAAACACGCATAAGACGCAAGCCAGGGCCAGCCTCGCATTTTATGTCAAGCTAAACTAACCTGTAAACCCTAGTGTGGCTTTCTGTTGTTGTTTTTGTTTTCATTTTGCTCCATTATTTACTCTGTTTCTTTTTTTAAACTGCCAGGAGTGCTAGGGAAGGAGGCAGGGGAGGGAGGAGTGTGGGGAATACCAGCCGTGACTCTATTGGACACAGATTTGCTGAAGAGAAGTTCCACAATAGTATTTAGGAAGCACCCTCTGCTAGGCACGCAGACTACAATGGCAAATGGCACCAGCAGAGTCCCCGTCCCTGAGGTCACATGCTCTTGGCTAGAGCTACAAGACTGTCCTGTCACGCTTCTTATTTAAGATGGAGGTAATGCCTACAGAACGCTTTAAGCTCCTCAGATTAAAAAAAAAAAAGTTAAATAAATGAAGACACACTTAACTGAGAAAATCGTTATGTTTATTAATCTTTCAAAGCACCAATATTATGCTAGCAGGATGCAGATGTTATAAATATTATTTCTTTGCTTCGAAGAGGGAGTCAAGCCAGAGAAGCAAAGATGAAAAAAAACGCTAGCCTTAAACCAACGTCCGTGCCCATAGCAATCATCCTAGGAGTTCAGGGGTCACCAGCTGTGGGCAGGAAACCCGAGCCATGTCCTTTGCCCCACCCCCCACGCCTCCATCACAGGCGATGGAGGCTGCTGCAGGTTTATGAAGCAGCAAAGAGTGATGCTGGTGCTCTTCTTCCTGCCTCCCAAAGGCAATCATTATTCCTGGAATGACAATTTGTAAACGCAACCTAATTACAGTCAAATTGATTAAGAGATGCATAATCTAAGCATTAGCAGTCCAGCAAATGCTGCTTCATTTAGCCACCAAGGACTCCTCCCCCCACCCACCCCCCAAAAAAGGAAACATCTGTATGAATCAGGAAGTCTGTCGGAATAAACATACTTTTTGCTGGTAAAATTCCACCTCAGTAAGTGATTGAGCATCGTCTTTTCCCTCACTGAATTTGCAGACTGGAAGCTTCCAGGGATCCAATACTCTACAGAGTGAAGCATGGTTCTTGTGTCTGTGAGAAAGACGTAGGGTCAATTTTGAGCACCAGCCTTTCCTCACAAGGGAGCGGCCGGCCTTCTTTTAGCTCAGGTAGGTTATTCACAAACGTGGATGATCGCAGAAACCTTCCAGGTGTTGTCGTGCGGGGTCCACGAGCTCCGGTGCGTGCAATCCCTAGCCCCTCCCTTGAGAGCTATGAGCCTTTCAATGCCTGTTGGCTCCCTTCCATTGTCTTCTCTGACTGTGAACAGACTTTTCAAAATGGCATTTGAAAGCCACGAAACTACTTAAGGTAAGTAGTAAGGAGCCCTAGTTGCCCTGTCGATAAGCATTAGCTGCTAACCATAAGGTTATGGGTTCAAACCCACCAACCACCCCTCAGAAAACAGATGACGCTATCACCAGCTTCTGGAACAATTTATAGCTTCAGAAACCCTACGCAGGAGCGCCACTGGATGGCAGGGGGCTGGTTTTTTGTTTTATTTATTTGTTTGTTTTTAAGTGAATAATTCTTTCTAGAAAGGGAAATTTTCTTCTTTCCTTAGATTTCATGTCGCATGGGGGTCTAAGACTGAAAAGGCTAAGCGTGGTGATGAGAGCAGCAGGCAGTTGGATGACTGTTGGCAGGGTGTTCCCTGTGAGCTAAAGAACCATCCTTGTAGGAAGTCGATGAGGCCGCAGGAAAGGTGACGGAGGATACAAAAGTGAAGGCTATATACTACGTGAAAGAGATTGAGCAGACACATGACATGTGTCACATCCTGTAATAAAGATGGCGGCATATTGCTATTTTTATGACATAAAGTCTCAGGTCTGCTCCTTACTAGCTACGTGACCTTGGGCAACTTCCTTGACCTTGACGTCTCCGTGTCTTAGTTTCTACATCTGTAAAATGAAGAAAATAGCAGTGCTTCTTACCATGTAGAGTTGCGAGGATGAACTAAGTTGATGCATATAAAGCTCTTAGCTCTTAGAACAGTGTCTGGCGCATAGTAAGTTTTCACTAAACTTTATTTGTTATTAACGGCCATAAGGACAAAGATCATAATAATAATGTTTAAAAGGCCTAATATCAAGACACATAATACGATTCCAATAACCCCATACATATGATGGCAGTGAATAATAAAACCTAAGCGTGCCAAAGACAAAAAAAAAAAAAGATGCATAATACACCAGGACTTCAAAAGGATCATGGGAAAATTCCTTTTCTTTTAATTCCATTTTTCCATGAAGTTGCTTTTTTTTTTTTTTCCCCAGGATGAAGATGGCTTTTATTTCCTCTCTGGGGGAGGGAGGGGTAGGGATCCTTTCCCAGGGCACACCAACCTAAAGAAGGAGCATGCTCAGAGGACAGGCTGGAAGAGCAGGACCAGCATCAGAAGGGCTCCTCCGTGTCCACTTCCAGCCTCTCGGCTGCAGGGATGTGCCTGAGGGTCACTCCCCTAGGCGTGACAACTCCTGCATTCACAGAGGCACATGGAGGCATCTGCTGGTGCTGAGGGGGGTGGGGGTGGGGGGGAAAGGCCAGTTAGCCGACCCCACACACCCGATGCCAGCCAGGGTGGTAACGGTTCACTAGACCTGGCTGGTGCGATTCTTCTCCCAACAGGGACTCTCAAGCAGGGCCTGAGGCAGTGCTTACTCCAGTGGCTGGTCCTTTAAATGTCCATCTCAAACTGGGACTCTTCACCTAGCCATTTCTTTTCGTTAAGAGTTGTCCATCTCGGCACCAGTGGGCCGGTCCTGCCTTTGTTATGGGCCAGAGCAGCTGTAGAATCACCCGCCGGCTGGTTGTTTTCTGGACTGTTGCGTGGGAGGCTCCGCCTGGCTTCCATGGGGGGCTTCTCACTGGCCGGGCTGGTGATGCCAGGAATAGTGGGCAGGTCCCGGGGAGGTGTTTTGGCCACAGGTGAGTTCCGACACTCCATCAGGAATTTCCGGTCATAGATGATCCTGGTACCTCCCGGGGTGGTGCTGAAGAGTGTGCCACCGGGGGTGGTGCTGTAGTCCCCGGGCGGCATCTGCACACCCTCGCCCAGAACCACCCGTTGAGTGGCAGGGATGGCCCGGCTTGGGGTCTGGCTGCAGCTGCTGCCTCCGGACATGGTCTCCGAAGTTGCTTTTTTAAGGGCCCCATCCCTCATTTATAGGAGCTGCCCCTAACAGAAATGCATGGCCATCTATTTTATAGGCTAGAGTCCTGGGTGGTACAAATGGTAAATGTCTTCTAGCCAAAAAGTTGGAGCTTCGAGTTTGCGCGAAGGCATCTTGAGAGAAAGGCCCAGAGATGGACTTCTGAAGTATCAGCCCTGGAAGACTTGATGGAGCACAGTCCCGCCGGGACACACGTGAGGTCGCCATGCGCTGGCCTCAACTGAACAGCACTGAGATCCGTCTCAGTTAGGTAGGTCCCACTGGCCAGCACACTTCCTGGAGCCTCAACCCCAGGGGTTATTTGATTCCAAAAATGACACCAGTTTCCCCCTTTCAGCCATAGTTTTTGAGATACAGAATATGTGCCATATACCAATCACTCTGCTTGCCCATAAAAAATTAAAAGTCAGGCTGTATTATTAGTGTAGTGTTCGCTAGCCTGCCATAGAGGAGGTGCATGCTGGTGGCTTTATTTGAAGTAGTTCGTGTTGTACTAAATATTTAGGTCAACTTATACTTCACGTGGTGTCCTTTGATTCAAAGATGTAATTGAACAATGCAAATTACATGAACGGAGAACCTTCCCCAAGTATCATTATGCCTTTACAAGGAAGCAGATAGCAGGCAGTTGCAATTCATCTTAAAAGGGGCGCGGAAATAAAAGTTAAAAAACAAAACAAAACACCTCACTGCCATCAAGTCAGTTCTGACTCATAGCAATTCTATAGGACAAAGTAGATCTGCCTGTGTGGGTTTCTGTAAATCTTTACGGGAATAGAAAGCCAAGTTTTTCTCCCACACAGTGGTTGGTGGATTTGAACTGCTGACCTTGTGGTTATCAGCCCAGTGTATAGCCACTACTCATCCAGGGCTCCTAGAAATAAGAGTATTGTACAATAAAAAAGGAGCTCTGACAGCATAGTGTTTCACTGTGTGTTTCACTGTTAACCACAAGGTCAGCTAGTCAAGCCCATGAGCTACTCTGCAAGAGACTTCCTGCCCCCAGAAAGATTTACAGCCTCAGAAACCCCCAAGAGACGTTCTCCTTTGTCCTACCAGGTCTCTGAGTCATAATTCACTGGTAGTGAGTTTGGCACAATAAATAGATATCCAAATGTTCTGAATTGGATCTTTCAGAAATCACTCTTTTATTAAAAGTAAAGTGTTCCAGTCTTGTTAAAAGATGGCACAACTTCTCCACTTGTGCACAGAAACTTTAAAAAGAAAAGTTGGAATGTTTCTTGTAAAGAAGCTCAGAGTTAACCTCACCTCTGAAATATTTAACATGAATTATCCATTGACTTCTATATATTAAAATGTGTTCTGAAATGTTTGCTGCATAATTTGAAGACAGAAAATTTAAATCTTCAAAATATGTATGAAAATTGCAGTGAAGTCTTACATTTCGACACTCTAAACTGCCCTCACACCTTCCGTGCAGTCTCGGGAAATACTGCGCACTTTCCCACACCAAAAAGAAAAACCTGCTGCCATCTAAACTATTCTCATTCATAGTGACCCTATAGGCAGAGAAGAACAGTCCCTCTGGGTTTCCAGACCTTTAAATCTTGTACAGGCTGCCGAGTGACACTGACCTCATGACCCGCAGCTCAATGAGCAACCAACTAGCCACCATGGGTCCATCTAAATACAGCTTCTCTTGGAAGTCCCTTAATATCTAATTGTTTTTCGAATATTTCTTCCCTTTCTTGTCTTATCCTGTGTTTTGTGGGTCTGAATTCTTGCCATATTTAGAACTAGTGTGATAGATGAATAAATTAGTATAATTTAATAGCTGAAAATATAGTGGAACACCATATCTCAGACACTAGATATGACACTTAATCGGTGTCCGAAATAACCCCAGGAACAGGCTAAAAACCATGACACGAAGAATTCTTGGTGGGGATTAAGCTGTGTTATCGAATCATAAAATTATAATTGGTCAAGGGATCATGAAGATGGGGGGTTAAAAAGAAGAGCTGATACCAAGGACTCTAATAAAAAGCAAATGTTTAGAAAATGATGATGGCAACATATATACAAATATGCTTGATACAATTGATGTATGGATTGCTATAAGAGTTGTGTATTAGTCTAGGTAATTTGGAGAAACAAATCCACAGCAACTCACGTATAAGAGAGAGTTTTATGCAAAGAAAATGTGCATCACGAAAACATCCCAACCCAATGCTGCCCAAGCCCACAAGTCCAACATTAACCCATACCCAACACCAGTCCACAAAGTCCTTCACCTCACAAAACAGAGGCAATAATGCCGACTGCAGGAGGAAAGCTGAGTCCGTGAACGTGTAAGCATCTCAGCACTGGCAGGGGTCTCCACACGGCTGCTCCAGCACCCAGGCTGCATCGGGATAGATCCATGCGGCTTCTCCTTGGGGATGTCTTGGAGGAAGTCAATCTTGCAAGCTGAAGCAGGGAACTGCTAAGGCAGCTGCACCTGATACAACCATCACAAAACAAGAAACCCGAGAACTAGAAAGGCGAGGCTTCACCACGCATTTATCCCTCCGCCTTTCAACCAACACCACATGTGATTATCGGCCAGGCTGGCACAATTAACTAACTCAAGTTGTAAGAGCCTCCAATAAAATAAATTTTTTTAATCAGAAAATTACAAACATCTATCCCTTTTAGACCTAAACATTTTTGGAGCCAATAGTGAATGGGGAAAATACTTTGATGCTAGACCATAAGACAGAATTTCCAAGAATCTCAATTCCCTAGTTGTCCCTCTTCCCTCCCTTGTCCCCTTATTGCCGTCACTCACTCACTGCCATCAAGTAGATTCCGATTCATAGGGACCCTGTGGGACAAGAGTAAAACTGTCCTTGTGGATTTCCAAGACTGTAGAAAACTGACCTTGCAGTTAGCAGTCCAATGTATAACCCACTACACTAACAGGGCTCCTTCCTTATCTTCATAAATCACCTACCTGCCCCCTAGGGGATTGTCTCCCCTGTGTATTTTTCACAAAATCCATCCTCTCTGTCCATTTCCTACCTGCCATGGCTTCCATAATATCCTAAGATTCAGCAAGCCAACAGTATATACAGCTCCCCCCTCGCCAGGCCCACATTCACTCACTCTCACCTTTGCTAACACTGCTGTTGACTCCCCCTTCTCCCGAACTGACCTGTCCTAGACCATAGAAAGCATTCAATACATCTTTGTGGCTTGAATGAAGGACAATAAGGTGCAAAGGAATCTATGTATCAAGGCAACTAAATGCTTACTCAGGTTTGGACTCGTTGCAAATATTTACTCTGGTTTATCTTCAGTCAGATCTGCTTGTAGATTCACTTCAAGAAGAACAGTTAACGCCCTTAAATAACTCTCAATATGAGACAGCAGAAATAAGTCTAGCTTACCACTTAAATAAATACAAAAGTAATACATCGCATGACATTAATAAAATCAAGCAAATATAGCTGTGTAGACACTCAGAATAATGTTGAACATGGAAGCTTGATGGACAGTGGGTTTGGAGGCACTATTTGTGACTAATTCACCCGTCCATCAAAGTGCCCACACTCATGGGTACCAACATGGTTGTGCTTCGTGGCTGTCTTGTCACTGTCGGCTCATGGCAACCCCACATGTGTGCAATGAAACTGCTCCCCAGGAGCGCAAGGCTGTGACCTTGTGGAGGCAAATACGAAGTAGAAGTCTGGGCCTGTATTCTGAGCTGCCTCTGAGGAGGTTCAAGCTCCCAACCTTTCAGCTAGGAGTTGAAGACTTAACCTTTTGTACCACCGCAGACTCAGGCACCATTAAATAAAATTTTCACTGCTACTGAGTCAATTCCTATACATAAGGACCATACAGAACAGAGTAGAATTGGACCTTTGGATATCCACGGCTGTAAATCTCTACAGGAGTAGACCGCCTCATCTTTCTTCCATGGAGCAACTGGTAGGTTCGAACAGCTGACCTTGTATTTAAACACTCAACTCACTATGCCACCAGTGCTATAGGAAATACAAATTATTATATGTTAGATCTGTTACTTGCACTCAAGGAGTTTATAATCAATCAATGTGGAAGGAAAACATACATGAAAAGGTTTGATGCCAAGCTGGGGGTCCTGAGAAAGTGCCTCTCTAATTCTGAGAAAAAGAATGATTAGTTTCAGTGAGGATGAAAAAAAATTACATAATAAAAAGCTAGAATTTTCAAAGTGCAAAAATACTATAAAATTCACTCTAACCAGGTTAAGAGCTTCCCCTCAAATTTATAATTTTTTTACATATTTTGTGCAAGCTATGGAATACTTGAGCTAAGCTACACCAAATCCTATATTCTTATGAACACTATTAAAATGAATATTTATATGAGCTACAAAGCTGTAATTCAACATTTTTAAAAACCATTTTATTCACATTATTCACAACCTCCAGATTGTTCATCCAGCCTATCTTATTTTAGACAGACCTGTGGAGATAATAACATGCACAAAAACAAGACAGAGCAAGACCAAGCAACAATATACAACAAAACAATAACAAAAACAAACCAATGAGTGCCCAGTTATCAAAAGATATAGTGCCTGGGATCTTAAAGGCTTGAAG